ATCAAAGCTAGCTCTTCTTTCGGTGAGAATTAATGGACGTAACTTGGGTGTGTGTAAAATAAAGGAATTTTTAGATCTCTTCAGTTGCATGTTTAAATCATACCTGTCCCCTCTCTTTCCAGGAATATCTTCTATAGGTCTGGCTGCTGCTTACTATAGTGAAGGTAATGTTCAGTTACTTTATGGAGAGTTTTATTCTTTCCTGTTGGAATTTTCTTTCATCTGATGATTTTCTCCCCTGGCTTCCACCTGATCCTCCTTAATATCTTGTACTTTTTTTAACTAATAAAGTGCCTACCGTAAACTCTAGGAGCTGGTACAAATCTTAAAACTTAGCAGCATCCCATTGCCTTCACCAGACTTTACCCCATGCTCTTCTATTTTTCTCCCTCTTTAGTTATTTCCGCAGCTCCTTTCCAGCCTTGCTTCCCCACATCCCCAGAGTATTTATAACAGTGATACTTAGCACTCTGTAATGCTTTGTTTCAATGCATTTTACAAAGCTTAGCTAATAGATTCTTTAACTCCACTGGGAGGGTAGGTATTGTTAAAATTCTGCCAGCAAACTCAAGTGTCCCAGGCCTCTGATAGAAGTACTCCTCTCTGGATGCTACTAAGTCACTCCTGCCAGAGAGAACTAATCCTCGGGGCTCATCAAAAATTTGCTCTTTAGAAGTATTTTTATCTGTTCTTTTGGGAATGGATCAGATGGCATCAAATGCCCCCCCCCATCATAAATAAATAAAAAGCTGCAGAGCATCCTATGAGCATCCCTCTTTGTTTCAAATGACACAGTTGGAACAGTGCATTATACTACCACTATAATCAGTATATTTTTCCAGGACAAAATACAGTGAACCCTATATGAGGCACCACCTGTAAAAGACAATATCCTTTCTTAAGAGACTGCCCTGGAGTCTCCCCAGACATACTGAGCCCAGTTCTGGTCTTTGTTAAGCAATTGATTGTTAGTCCCTGGAACAGTCACTTAAAACAGATTGAACTGTGTAAACACTTCCAGCATGTGACATTTTATATATGTGTTTGGCAAGATGTGCTGACTGCTTCCTTCGTTGGTTTGAAGAAAACATGTTTGTTTCAATAAATTAATATCCCCAGTCTCTCACCCTTGGCCTCTGGGTTATCACAGGCTAAGGAGGAACATGTTTATAGGAGCCCCTGGTTAAAGTATTTCAATATCTCAAGTTCTCAGGGGGGAAAAAAATCGTATCCACAACAGAACTACGTACAATCCTGCCAGCAACAAATATGTTGCTAATTCTGTATAGCACTGATTCCAGTGTTTTAAAAACAACAACAAAAAACTTTCTACAATCGAATAACTTCTGCTTTTTTTGATCCTGGAAAAACACTGTTAAAATACTATATCTTGCTGTTGAAGAAGAAAACATCTGTCATGAAATGCACATTTCTTTCTTATTTTGCTCCCAGAGGGGGTGTGTGAGCTGTTTTACTATCTTTTGCTTGCTATTCAAACAATGTATTTAATACTATGTATCTTGTATTGATCAGACAGCTTGGGATGGAAACTCTTCTATATAGCTGGGTGTCTCTTTGTGGCTGCACAGAATCTGGAGGAGTGGGAGGTAAGACACATGCTGTGAACTCAGAAGACAGGAAGTGGGTTGTGCTGGCTTAAAGTATTTGGCTGTAGATTTCAGCAGCCAGATGATCATTAATATTGTGTAATCCAAGTAAACAAGTTACACTGTCAGACACTGTTGAGAAATGTAGCTATATTGGTACATTATAGTAAATGTGAACTGGGAGGGTAATTTTTATACTGATAGTACAGGAAAAATTGTTAAAGATGAATTGGTGTTTAAAGATAAGACTTGGCCAAACATATCTGTCGTAATATTGTTTTGTGTAGAATATTTTTGCAATTATAAGCTGAAATATTTGCAACATGTGATTTTTCAACTAAGAGAACAGGAGTAGCACGTGAAGTTACTAGTGAAAGCTTCCCGCACGTGCTGTCCCTGCTAGTGAGGTGGAGGAGCCTACCAACTATAGGACAGATCTACCTCCAGTTCCACTCAACATTTCCCCACTCTCAGGAGAGTGCTATTTGTGATGTTTTAAAATGATGTTGACAACTGTCCATCAGAAATTGGACTGAGGTTACCAACTCATTTCACAAGCACTTGGAAGACTGTCATTATACTAACCCATGCTGTACTTGAATAAATGACCCAGATGTGAAAGATGCCCTGTTGTGTTACCAGTCCCTGGAGCCATCTAATCCTGGGGATGTTTTCTTTTTAATGTAAATGTCACCATATCGTGTAAGTCAAAAACTTTGCCCAGTTGGTAGCTGTCACTGTTATTAATGAAAGGTGTAGATAGATTTTATGTTCACTGTAGCCTGGGGGTTGTGGGACAACCACATGCACACTTAAAGAGCAAGTTTCAGTTTCTGCAAGGTGTGACATCTTGTCTTAAAGCCAGGGATAGCTTATAGTTAAAGGAAAATAAAACCACTTAAATTCTGTCCTGGAAAGAGTGTGATTCAGACAAGTCTGGGTTTGAGGGGAAGCCAAGAACAAAACTTTGACTTCATAATTCAGTAATGGGACAGGAGTGAGTATAAGTAAAACTATTAAGTTCATATTGCTATGATAACAGAAACTAACTGCTACAGGTGAGTGTTGGGCTGTTCATTTTTTTGGAGGTTGTAAATGCCACCTTCCTATTTAAAAGAAAAGGATACAATTGATGATGTGTTGCAATTTTACAGGAAGCTGTATTTGACAAGGACAAGGGAAAAGTCTTCCTTAAAACATTCAACCTTTACAAAAAAATACTGACCCTCTCAAGAGCAGGCCATGAACAAGGTAAGAAAGTAGGTGTTTCTGTAGGTACCAAATGTTACTCCTGGGGGAATTCTGCACCAAAAAATTAAAAATTCTGTGCACAATATTTTAAAATTCTGCATATTTTATTTGTCAAAATAACACAATATAATCACACCATTTTTAATTATTTTTGGTCATTTATTTCAAAATACCTGTCAGCAAGTATGTCTGTAACAATACAGACAACATAAAAGATTCAGGAAATGTTTTTTGACAAATCAATTCCTTACTAGGCATATTAATACAGAACTCTGAGTAAAAATTTGTATAAACTACAATACAGAACCGTATTTCCCACACCCTCAGAAGCCCTGCAAAGACTTGGGGAGAGTCAGGGGTAACGCAGGAGCTGAGGGAGAGGGAAGTAAATGCTGGGAAGGAGCCTGGGTGTGAACTTAGGTTTTGGGGTATGGGTGGGAAAATTATGGAACAGGTTTTTTTGGGATGCGGGAAGGGATTGTTAGGGAGCTTCCCCCATGCAGACCCTGGCTGACCCCTAGCCTGTCGCATTCAGTCAGGCACATCTGCCCCTGCACCCTCGTGTGTCCTTGCACACCCTGTCCACATGTGTCCTTCCACCACCACTCTGACACCCACTCCCCCATTCCCATGTGGCCCTGCACCCCACCCATCCCTATGCAGCTCTGTACCCCCTTCCCCATCTCCATGTGTCTGTGCCCCCACTCAGCCACCCCCTGTCCCTATGTGTGTCTGTGCCCCCACTCAACCACCCTGTGTCCCTGGGTAGCTCTGCACCCCCTCCCCCATCACCTTGCATCTCCCTCGCCCCTGTGCCTCCACACCCATTCAGCCCCTGCCCTAGTCTGTCTTCCCCCACTAGCTCTTATGAGCCTCTGTCTGAGCCCTCTCCCCCCAGCACCCCATGCTGTCTGTCTCCCCATAACCCCTGTCTCCTGAGCTGGCCTGACAAAGGCAGGCTCTTTCTCTTCCCTCGCTCACTCTTTCTCTTCCCTCTTCCCTCGCTGGCTGGGAGCTGCTGCTTTTTTGTATCCCCAAAGTGCCCTCTGGTCTGCAGTTATTTTCTGATGGGAGCTGCTGCTGTTTTTGTGCCACAGCGCCCTGTAGTGGGCAAAAGGGGAAACTGTAGCAACATTTTGGTGGAAGCTTTTTTTTTTTTGCGCAAAAAAAACTTAATGTGGCTTATTAGTTATGCACTCATGCAGTAATGTAGAATTTTCCCAGAAGTAAAGTGTGAGAGTTGGGCAGAGAAGGTGGAATTATATGCAAATCTTTTTATAAACTATATTTTAGAGCTCTGCACTCAGTCAACCATTTCTATCCATTCCTAGCTCTTTGGTTTCCAGAAAGCAGATGCCACCATCATGCTAAGCTGCAAAAGCATTCTGGGTATTAAAATGCAAATGAGCATACCACATTGCTAAAGGTCTCTAATACAGTATAGACAGAGTGCACAGATTTTTTTTTTTACACTACTATAGGGCTTTCCTGGGGCATACTGACATTTGTGGCTCTATTTTACCCCGTTTTAATGTACTGAAATCTGCAGTGCGCTTTGCAAATATTGATGGTGAGAGATACTGAAATCGAGTGGTTGGAGCAGGGGAGTTGAGACTTCTAGTTTCTAATCCTAATTTGGCACTGATTCACTTTGCAGGCTTGGTTAGGTCTCCTTAACCCTGTGTCTGTTTGTCAGAAGGATAGGATATGTATTTTACAGCGGTGTTTTGAGGCTCCATGCATGTATGTAAAGCAATTGGAGATGCTTGGGTGAAAAATGGTGTGGAAATGCAGAGTTATAGTTCTAAGCTACAGATGGTGTATCATTACTGGATCTTTGTTTCTGGGTACTGTTTACTGTCCATCCCTGCTTAGAAAATGCAAGACAGAAAATCCATTTAATTAATCTGCATTTCCTGAAATCAAGCCCAGCTTTTAAGGGCTCTGGTCACTTCACGGCACTGAGCAGTTGCTTTCACTGGAGCTCTAGAAGCTGCTCTTGAATAGCACAAAGAGGAGGGGAAACTTGATTCACTTTATGTACACATGGGAGCTGGTATTGGGGAGAGTACCAGGATGATGCCAGTGTTGAAAAGCAGTACCTCAGAAGCAACAGAAGTTGTGGGTGACCTTCGTGTTATCTGGAAATTTGGTTTTGGTAACACTGTACATCAGAAATAAAAATGAGAAACCGGGACAGGATCAGTTCTCTTGCTGCCATGCTAGAGAAATAGGTGCTGTTTGAGGTCTCTTCCCTGAGTGGGATATGCAATGAAAGCAGCACGTTCAGCTTTGTGACACGAGCGTCTGGGGTTGCTTGTCAGAAGGAGGAGGCCCAAGGGAGCTTCAGCCCGTCAGGGACCTGGAGGATGAGAATTAGAAATAAATATATTCACAAACATGGTGACTGTTTGTTTGTTTTTTGTTTTTTTTTCTTTTATTACAGCTCTATGCTCTCAGGTACAGTGGTGAGGAGCATAGTATAAATCAGTGAATTTCTAGAATAGAAGTATTATCAGTGGAGAATTCCTGCTCACCGCTTCTGTCATAGCTGTAGCTAACAGGCTACTCTTTTTCCTGTTGCATCATGCAGCCCCCCCCCCCCCCCCCGTTGGTTTATTACTCTGCAAGATAGTCTCTTAATCCTTGATACAGGTAGCTTTCCCCGCCAGGCTATGTTTAATTCTAGATCGAGCTAAAGTAATGCACACTGCAGCAAGAAAGAGTTGATTATGGTATGGCTGGGCTTGGGGAACAGCAATTAAAAAAACAAAAGCCCTCAGAGTATTTATGCAAAATCCTAATGCCTGTTTTTAGAAACGTGAACTTATCCAGGAAGGCTCAGTTTAAATGCTGCATCTGGTTTCCACTGAGGTTCCTGCATCTGATTCAATTGCATAGCTGCAGACAGTAGTCAAACCCAGGTTAAGTGACTTGCTTGAGGTCACAGTGAGCCTTGGCTAAATTGGAACTAGAACCCAGGATGTTCTTGAATTCTAAACATCTGCTCTCCTTGCTTGACTAAATCAAACTGCTTCCTAATATGTTTAAATAGTTGGGAGCTTAGTGGCTTGAAAGCATTTAGAACCTCCTTAAATATTATGATGAAATTTCAAACAGATTTTGGGGGAGGGGGAAGGAAGGAGTGAGCGTTAATGTTCATGAACTTCCCCTTTTGTGTGTCCTGAACAATAGGCAAATGTTTCTTGAGAGTAGGCATTTGTACCAAAAACAGAGAGCAAATGCTAATTAACATGGGGACCCAGAAGCCAGGAGATGCTCTGAAAGTGACTGATCTGAATGGTTCATTTTTCAACACCTGCTCAGTCTCAATACATTTAACAGCTGTTAACTACCTGATACAGAAAACAGTTCAAACTGTCTTTAAGGAAAGAGGGAAAAACAGCAGGAAAGCATAAGTAATAAATGGATGATTGTCAATCTTTGGGCAGCTGTACCAGTTCATTAGAGCAAACTATACCAGTTGGTGCATTCTGCTTTGCATCCAGATCTGGGTTTGTTTGCCCTTACCACAGTTGGTGGAGTTTGGGATCCCAGAATTGCAGTGTAGAGCACACCCAGCTGAGTGGGAGGAGGGCAGCAGTCCTGAAGCCTTGCACAGAGGCTCATTATTAAAGCAGAGAGAGGGAGCTTAGAGTCCTAGTCATATAAATCAGAAGTGTCAATGTTGGGAATGGCTGTAATTGATGTTCTTCCCCTGCTTTTGCTAACAGTGGCTGCTTCGCTGAATGAGATTCGAGATGTGAACGTGGAAGAGGAGAAAGTGCGTTACTTTGGGAAGGGTTACCTGGTAGTGCTACGATTTGTCACTGGATTTTCCCACCCTCTGACCCAGAGCGCAGTGATGGGCTGTAGAAGGTATGAGCTATTCTTTTTGATTGAGTGTGTGTATAAGAGGAGTAGGTATTAACTATAGGGCCAATGGCTGGATTATAGGAGGCTGTTGGGAGAATTGTCCAAGCTCTGTTGGTAGTCTTATTTAATCTATTTTTAGGATTATTCAAGTTATGATTTTCAAACCCTTACAGGCATTTGAGAATAAGAGCAACTGTATAACGAGATTTACAATATTAGACATTCTAGGCCTCTAATAGTTGTTTTTATTACTTGTAGTTCAATCAAAAGGAAAAAAGGCCCATTGATTATTGCTGTTATTTATACTGATGACCCATTGTGATGGGCACTGTACAGACACATTATAAAAAGACAGTCCCTGTCCCAAATTGCTCACAGTCTTAGTATAATCAAGATACGACAAAAAGACGAGAACACAAGTTGGCAATGAGATTTGTAACAAGAAGCTGTCACAGCCATTGTTGAGTGTTTTGCAAGCCTCACAGCAGAGGTGAATTTTAAGGAGAGAATAGACGGCTTCCATCTTGCTGTTTCTATGACATTATTTTAATAGTTATTCTTTTCTCTCTCCAGAAGGAAATGTGTAGAGGTCACCCTACAGCTTTGATTGTCAGAAGCATGTGGTGTCTTGAGATAGGTTGAGAGTGATAATGAACGTTACAAAATGTTTAAGGGCTTTAGATAAACTATTTAAGACTAATTGACTTAATGGGAGACATTAAAATCTTGCATCATATTTCAGTAACAATAGCTTTACCTGTATCAGATACTTCTGTGTGGCAGGAAGTGTGTTGAAAGCTAAATAGACCACCCAATTTCAAGTGCACTTATACTCCCTAAAAGTGCTGCTCCCTGTGTCTTCAAGTTAGAACTGTGTTTTTGCTTACTTCATTCTTTCTCCTTCTGTTAGCACTGCTGAAGTAGTGCAGCTATGAGAGAGTGAGGCAGATTAATCTTCTGCCTCCTGCATAAGTACAATTATTAACTAACTGAGGAATCTTTATTACTAGTGATAAGAAGCAGAAAGAATTCCACAGGTTCTTTAGCTTGCAAGGGAATGTAAAGCAGGGACTATTAGAAAATATTCTGACTTGTGAATGGAAACCTCCTCTTGTCTGAAAGTCATTGGGAGAATGGTACTCATGAAGTTCCACTTTAGTCACTTTTCTGATTATAATAGCAGCTTGAAAAAGTCGCACACAGCTTATGAATCTGGACAGGCCCTATGCGAGTTGCTAATCATAGTCTTATTCCACATATTGACTGGATCTTCAGAGAGATATGTATTCAGCAATGAGTGCTTTTGCTCTGGCTCATCAGCCCCACACCTCCATTAATTCAAACATCGTTCATTCCTTTCCATAGTGACGTGGAAGCAGTTGCCAAGCTCATTACCGGGTTTCTGGAACTGAACCATCAAGATCTGTCGCAGAGCAGTGAAACGGATGCCAGTGATGCAGATGAACCCAAGGACGAGTATTAACAGTGATCATGAAATTAAAAAAGCTGAGCCCTCTGAATGCTTGGAAGCTGTATTGGCTGCATTGCATCTAAGAAGTCCCCTCATGATTTGGTGTCTTGGTGTCTTCCCTATGTGTGGGAATTCCTCTGCTGCGACAGCTGCAAAAGTCTGAGTTGGCGTGCCTGCTGATGCCAAATTGCTTTAAATTCCTGCACCCCCATAAACTGTTCAACTGGAAGCTTCAGTATGGATTTGTTCATGTGTGGCTTGCGTAGAATCCAAAGCAAATACTATTTTACTTTGCCTTCTAGTTTGTAGGTGTTGATAATGCTGGCTTTGGAACTTTGTCAGTGCCTCATAATTACCTAGGAAAAATGATGTACTAATGAATTGGTTTAAACTAGTTGATTGCATTCCACAATTATCAAGGTGATAGTCGCACATTTAAACTTCTGGTTGCTGTAAATATCCATTGCAGGTACAGTGTATCTGGACTTAGGAAGACTGAATTAGTGACTTTATATTATAATATCAGATTCTGTTACTCTTTTTTTAAAGGAAAACTCCAATGTGGTACATATATTTAATTCCTGTCATTAAATTCAAAGAGTTAATCACTTAAAAAAAATTGTTTTTAAGCATCTTAAAATAGTAAATAATCAAAGATAGCCACTATCTTGGTAGTTTTGATGACGCCAAGTACAGTAGGACTGAAAAAGTTACTTACAATTAGAAACCAATAGAAATAAAAAAAAGTTTGAAAGTGGTGGTCCAGAATTTCAGATATAAAATTAGTCCATTTCATGTGTGGCTTAATGCCTCCTAGATTAGCAATAGAGGGGTGATTCTTTTTAAATAAAATATAATAGCACTTGCCTTGCAATAGCTTTGAAATATTTTAATTTCCTGTGCTGCTGTTTTAGGGATGGGAATTGTCTTCTCCAAATAAAACAGCAGTAGATGTGGGAGCCTCGAGTCAGGCTGTTCTACATATTTATTTAAAAAAAAATCTGCTACTGCAGGGCAAGTCCACCATGTGGTTTTATTTTTTTCTTCTTCTTCTTCAAGTGCCAGCTGCTAAAATGAAGCTTCAGCCTAGCACTATCAGTGTTCCCTATTTTAAAAGTCTTTGGCATATTAGATCTTTGTAGCATTGGATACTCTGTTAAGAAAGACTGGACAGCTAGACATGTCAGTGCTTTGTGACCAAACCTTACCCCAAAATATGTTGTGATTGTTGTCCTCTTTTCTAAGATCTGTTTCCCATGTGGTTAAAATATATATTTTTATACATTGTTCTTGCTTTTTATTTTTCTTTTTTAATAGATTTTAGAAAAGCTACCTCTGCCTTGATCAAAATGTTAAATCTAGAGCTCAAACTCCATTAATTGTCTATACCAAGCTGTCATTAGTGAGAAGGAAACAAAATTGAATATATTGGGCCAAAGTAACATCAACATGATAAAATTGCTTGTTTCATAATCTACCCCTTTTTGTTTAGGAGATGCACAAAAGCATCAAGCCCTGAATATGCCAGCACTCAAACTGGGAGGTGCACTAAACAGGAAGGAGGAGGAATAAGATTAAAAATGTTAGCTTTAAACCAGATTGACATGATATGTTCAGTATAAAGAATAAGCATTAGTAAGTTCAAATCAAATAGTTAAAGCAAGGTAAAAAGGGAAGGTATTCAAATGGTATTACTTGGTATAGATTATTTAGGAAACTTCTTTAGCAGTTCGATCTTATAGTTACTGGAGTATAACTTTTTAATTAGGATTACAGTCCACTACTTGATACGTGTTACTTATTAGTATTTCACAGACTGGTATTAGGGTTGATGGTGGTTTGAGTCAGCAGGAGGAGATCTGAAAGGCACACTAGGAATAAAGCCAAACTAGATGCTGACTTTCTTGGCAGTAAGTGTTATGGCAGCAATCTCTGAGGGAGAGATTGTGCCTGCATTTCTGTTTTGCGGCTTCTTTCCAATTTTAGGGAATAGAGGCAGGTGGGGTGGGTGGGCTGGTGGAGCAAGCCAAGGAGAGGTTATTTATCTTACAGGCACTTGAGTTCTTTGAGAGATTTTTGTCCCTATGGGTGCTCCACTATAGGATCCAGGTGCACCTGAGCACTCTTGACCACAGAATGCAAAGCAGTTTCCACAGGCCCATGCCTGTGCTGAGCAGCCCCTTGTGCTCCAAACAAGGGCTTATAAAGGGCACGGACCCACCACCTTTCAGTTCCTTCTTAATCGCAAAGCAGAGCCTCCACAACTGAGGGGAAGGAGGGTGGGAAGTGGGGCACCCCTAGGGACAAAACATCTTGAAGAACTCAAGTTACTGTAAGGTAAGTAACCTCTCCTCCTTTGAGAACATGTTCCTGTGGGTGCTCTGTCATAGGAGATTCCCAAGTAGTACCTCAATGAGGAGGTGGGTGCTGAGGAACCAAGTCCAAGCTGGTTTGGGGGGGGACGGGACTGCATCACCACAGGTGGTATCATCCCAAGCAGGTAGAATGGCATAATGCTTGGCAAAGGTGTGAATGGAAGACCAAGGTGCAGTCCTACAGATTTCTGTTACGGGAACGACTTTCAGTGGAACTAGAAATGTGGATCAAGCTCTGGTAGAGAATGCTGTAGTTCTGAGGGGCCTGTATCCCAGCAGGTTTGTAACAGGTTAAAATGCAACCTGAAACCCACTTCAGCAGTCTTTGAGTGGAAGTAGGTTGTCCTTTCATCCTTTCTGCAAATGATACAAACAATCTGGGAGGAGACCTGGAAGGTCTTAGTCCCTGTCAAGGTAGAAGGCAAGAGCTCTTCTGACATCTAGTGTGTGTAGGCTGCTTTCCTCTCTGGAGGCATGGTTCTTTGGGTAGAACACTGGTAGATTGACCTTTTAATTAATATGGTATTCCGAAGAAACTTTAGGGAGGAATCGAGGATGGGGATGCAGTGTAACCTTATCTCTATAGAAGGTAGTAAATAGTTGGTCTGCCAGGAGAAGACCTGAGCTCTCCCATTCATCTAACTGAAGTGATGGCTATCAGAAATAAGGTTTTGAGGGAGAGGTGGAGGAGAGAACAGCTAGCCTTTGGTTCAAAGGGTGGTTTTTTTTTTTTTTTCCAGGGCTTTGATAATCAAATTAAGGTCCATGGTGGGTTAGGGCAGCTGTGTTCCATATAGGGGGAAACAAGTTGTATAAGCCCTTAAGGAATCTGACTATAATGGGTCTGGCAGGGCTTAAACTCCGGGGTCTGCGGCATAACCCGGAGGGCTAAAGGACCAAAACCAGCAGTTTTAAAGGGGAAGGGGAGGGGAGAGAGAGACAGGGAGTAGCTGCCCCATCCAAACACAACTGTGCTAAAATTAAAGTAGAAAGATAAAATAACTAAACAAGAAAAGAAAAAACCAACACTAAGGGTAAATTGCTATGTTCAGAAAAGGCAGGAAGAAAGTCCACCTAGAGTTGCAGGCAGTTGAGAAGGAACCGAATGGCATTGGGTCTGTGCCATCTTGGGAAAGCATGAGAGGCTGCTTGGTGCAGGCATGGGCCCGCAGATGCTGCTTTGCATAATCTGGTCAAGAGCGCATGGGCATGTGGCACATCCTATGGTACAGCACCAATAGGGGGACACACTCAAAGAAGAACAAGTAGTTTCAGTGGGAGATTGACTAAGAATTTTGATCCTGTAAAATTTTGAGCATGCTGGCTCCAGTCCAGCAAAACACACAAGAACATGCTTATCTTTAACTCCAAGGGACAGACAGGACTAAGATTCGAACCTCTGCCTTTCATGCCCAACCCTATGGGTCCAGTGGGTGAGCAGGCATGAGATGGGGAAAGCAGTAAGACCATGACTGACTTCATGACTGACCTCAAGGGTGAATTAAACCAGTGGTTCTCAACCAGGGGTACATGTGTACCTCTAGGGATACAGAGGTCCTCCAGGGGGTAGAATCATAGAATATCAGGGTTGGAAGGGACCTCAGGAGGTCATCTAGTCCAACCCCCTGCTCAAAGCAGGACCAATTCCCAACTAAATCATCCCAGCCAGGGCTTTGTCAAGCCGGGCCTTAAAAACCTCCAAGGAAGGAGACTCCACCACCTCCCTAGGTAACACATTCCAGTGCTTCACCACCCTCTTAGGATATCTCCATTATTTATTATCTCCTAGAGCTGGAAGGGACCTTGAAAGGTCATTGAGTCCAGCCCCCTGCCTTCACTAGCAGGACCAAATACTGATTTTGCCCCAGATCCCTAAGTGGCCCCCTCAAGGATTGAACTCACAACCCTGGGTTTAGCAGGCCAATGCTCAAACCACTGAGCTATCCCTCCCCCCTAGTGAAACAGTGTTTCCTAATATCCAACCTAGGCCTCCCCCATTGCAACTTGAGACCATTGCTCCTTGTTCTGTCATCTGCCACTACTGAACAGCTGAGCTCCATCCTCTTTGGAACCTCCCTTCAGGTAGTTGAAAGCAGCTATCAAATCCCCCCTCATTCTTCTCTTCTGGAGACTAAACAATCCCAGTTCCCTCAGCCTCTCCTCATAAGTCATGTGCTCCAGACCCCTAA